GTGAGCCATGGCCGCTGAGCCTGTGCCTCCGGAGCCTGTGCTCCACAACGGGAGAGGCCACAACAGTGAGAGGCCCACGTACCGCAAAAAAATAAATAAATAAAAGAATACTGACGTTTCTAAGGTAGAATAAGGGCCATAGGTTTTATTGAGGTCATTTTGCTACAGTTCTAGTTTGTCTTTGATCTTATGTATATTATCATGCCATTAATAACTAAAACTTTTATAACTGTAGTTTTACAACATTCTCCTGGGTTCTAGACCGCTCTCTGCTGCTTAGTAGCAGGGTAACCTTCAGCAGACTTACTTACTTATTCTCTTTAGGTCTGAGATTCCTCACCTGTAAAATAAGAATTAAAACTGTATCCATCTACTAGAGTAGTTGTGAGGGTTGAAAGCACAGTGCCTGGAATACCTGAAGTGCTTGGCATTTTAGCTCTCACTGTTGCCTCCAAGTAGAGTCCACATTGTGCTAAACGTGCAAATCAGCATTAGCGTAACCCTTAGCTGGGATCTAAGGACATTTGTCTTCATGTTCTGTGTCCTACATTTGAAAGTGGGTTGGAGAATGAGAGTAGAAACAGTGATCCTCCAGTAGCTAACGATGCCAAATGGTTCTCTGAGAAGAAAGGGTGTTGAACAGTTAAGACCAAACTCTTAAAACCAGAAACAATCAGAAATAATGTTGGGTTGGAAATAGTAGTATCTGTTTTCACTTAGCATTATAATAGAATCAAACTTTTTCATCTTTAACAAAATAAAATGCACATTGATATTTGGCAGCTGAAAATCATTCAGGTAATCCGCTCAGAAGACTCCCCAAAATAAAAGTAGTGGCTTTCAGCCAACTGTAGGTAAAGTAAATTATGTGGAAGAAAACACAGGTGTTAGCCTCCTTTATCATTGTCACCCAACATACAATTAAATCTCACATCACTTAAGCAGAGAAGAGTCTGAATTGTCAAAAGTTAAATTTACAATGATCATTTTTGAAAGAAAGTAAATGGGTATGTCATCGCAGCCCAAATGATTTTAAATGGATTGCTGTTTTATGACCATGAGATACACTAATTGTTTTAATTCAGTTGTTCCAAGAGGGCTTGATAGTACCATTGGGGTTTTTTTTGTCAACTGTGTTTTCAAACGTAGAGACAGGTTTCAGCCCAGTTACTATTGTTTTTTGGATTTCTGTTGTTATTTTTAAATTAAAATGTTAGTCTTTTTGGTAAAAAGCTTTTGAGAGTGCTGCCAGAAGTAGAATTACATGTGGAATGAGCTTTCAGTTACTGACGGCTCCTGACATGATGATAGTCTGATGCTAAAACTGAAATGTCTTTACTGGACACTGTGAATGAGCTTGTTGCTATGCATGAATATTAAAGCACCTTCAAGATCCTTCTCTCTGAGGGCAGCCCCCCTCCCCTGGTCTAAGTAGCCCTCTCCTCCTTGGGGTTCCAGTAACATTGTTTGTACCTCTCTTTTAGTTATGAATTGGGCCTTGCAACACGATTCTTTCTATTTCCTTCTCCCTAATAAAATGTAAGCGCCTTAGGGCACAAGCTGTTAAGCCTTCAGATTAATTTAACAGATAATTTACTGAACATTACTGTACCCAAAATATTGTGCCTCATGGTCTACAAATGTGTCACAACAGCCCTTGTCTTTGTCGTTTGGTTCCTCATAGGGCCTTGCCCCCCGCCGTTTACTTTTTTCCCATCTGTTCCACGATGCTCTCTGTTTTCCTCTGACTTCTCTGGCCTCTGTTTCGCAATGCACTTTGTCTCTTTCTCTCGTTGACCTGTGAGCGATGCAGATGCCCAAGGTGTTCCTGAGCTGCCTTCCCTTCTCTGTACGCACTCTCTAGTTGATCTCATTTATTCTGGTGCATTTAAAATAGCATCCTTATGTCAGTGACTCTTTATCTCTAGTCTAGACACTTCAAGTCCACGTATTCCACTTGCCTTGAAGTGCCATGGGTGTCAGAAAAATAAATGTCTTACAGAAAACCCTTAGTCTTTCCCCCTCCCCAGGAAATCACCTTCACATACCCAGGATTTTGGAAGTGATCTTTGACACATCTTCTCCCTCACCCTCCACATTGAGTCCATCACCAAGTCCTGTTGATTCTACCTCTAAAATAGATTTTTCCTATAGCACGGCCCGCATGCCAGGCAGGATGGCCCCTTTGGGCCCCTCTGGTCCAAGCACCATAGAGTCTCCGCAGTGATCTCTCAGAAGCATAAAGCAGCTCATGCTTTACAATCCCTCCTTGATTCTCATTGTTCTTAGGAGGAAACTTAGAAATCCTCAGCATGGCTTCAGGTTCTATGTAATCAGGCCTCCTTTTCCATTCTCACCTCATTCCACATGCCACCTCTGTAATCCAGCAGTGACAGCATTCTTTAAATCCCAGAGACTTGCGACTTTCCCCTCCCACAGTTTAGGGTTTGTCCACAGGCTCTCTACCCTGTGGGGACCCCACGAACCCTCTCATCTCCTCAACCCCTCAGACTAAATTAGGTCCCGTCCCCCTTTTAAATCGTGAAGTATCCTGTGCTTTTCTTTTATATCACCTATGGCAGTTGGAAAGATTTATTTCGTTGGACAATTATTTGCTCCATATCAGGCCGCCTCGTTGTCCTGTAAGACGCATAAGGGCATTAGGTCTGTTTCATTCACACTTTCAGACCCAGGACTTGACACATTGCACAGAATCAATAGATGTTTGTGGAATGGGTAGAATAAATAGGAAGTAAAAGTGCAAAACACATGGAAATACTATGCAACAGGATGTGCTTAAAACTTAAGGCTGTAACTCACTATATGGAAATAAGTTTCTGACACCCGTGAGGATACCTTCAGTTTGTGACTGAACCAGGCTTGTGCCATTTTCCTGACCTGCCAAATCTTAGTATTCTTATTACCAAAGATAACAGGAAAAGAACAATCTTTATCAGTTTGACAACAAATATTTATTGATCCCCTGCTGTTCACCTGGTTTTATTTTACAAGCTTGGGATACAGCTGGGTGATGCTGCTTACTTTCCCATGGGGGACAGACAAGAAACAAGTACAAAGGCAATTTCAGCTCTTGGAAAATGCTGCGAACTAAACAAAACAGACCAATGGCCTGGGTGCAGTGGCCAGAGAAGTGCTGTTTGCAAAGGTAACATGGAGCTGACAGGGAGTCGGCTAGTGAAGAGCTGAGGGAAGGGCCTTTTAGCCGGGGGAACAGCACATGCCGAAGCTCTGAGGCTGGAACAGCCTGGCCTGTTTGGGGAACAGAGTGGTGGCCAGGGGTCCTGGAGAGTCAGGAAGGAAAGGCAAGCGCAGAGTCCGAGAGACCCTGGCTGACCATCCTGCCTCTCCCCGTAGTGGCTGTTTATCACAGAGTGCGGACGATCGCGATGTCCGGCTCATAGCAATGTTGCTACATCCGATGATGAGAGGAAACTTGAGTAGTAATGCACATCGCTGATAATCTGCCTTCCATAGAACTTATGTCCAGGAGAAACTAGTCGAGTAAATATCAAACTAGTGGCTGTGTTTATGTGTTTAATGGTTTACTAATAGATTACCTTTTTAAACTATGTTGCTGATTATTTACAAACATTCATATTTACATTGATTTCTCACAAAAGGTTAAAAAGCTGAAGCGAGAACTGTCACAGATGAAGCAAGAATTGCTCTATAAAGAACAAGGCTTTGCAACCTTGAAACAGTGAGTATGAAGTACTGAAACTGACTCTCGAATAATCCAAAGCCACTGAACCGATACAAAGAAAATAGAAGTATAGATTACATAAGAGTTTTCTCAAAGAGAAGTAAAATACAAAGTGCAAAGCTCTGCACCAAAAACAAAAAAGCAAAAAAACTTGGGAAAATCTATACACTTTGAATAGGTGTGAAATGTTCACTAATCTTTGGCGATCCAAGGAAACCAAAGTGAGAAACTTAGCTTCGTCTCTGGGCCCGCCAGGCTGCTCTCAGTTTGAGGCAGAGCCAGGAGATCGAGCCCAGGAAGGGCCTCCCCCTTCTCTCTGGAGGCTGGGCTCTGTGAGCCTGCGCCCGCCGAGCCCCGGGCTCGGGTCCTGTCCACCTCTGGCAGCCCCAGGGGGACCTAATGCTGTCTGATCTCAGGGAGCAAGTCAGGGGTGTCTACAGAGGAGCTGAGTGAGTGCCTCAGCTCCCGTGTTCCCTCTGCCCTTTCCTGCTCCGTGCTGAAGTCTGCTGGACCCTGGCTCCAGCTTGAGCTGGGTCAAATAAGAATGGAGATGACGATCTGGAAATCCCTGCCCCATTCCCAGCCCCTGGAAGCCACTGCTCTTCTGCTGATGAGGCCCAGACTAACCGAACGCCAGCAGGCACACCGAGACCTTCCAGCTCCCGCAGTGCCCACCCCACGGTCTCCGATGCAGGGAAGCAGCGATGGTTCATCCAGCACACAACCACAGGGAGGGTTGAAGACGTCATCCCTTAAAAGGCATCCAGCTGCTTTTCCCTTCCCTCCTCCTTGCTGCCCGGTTCAGTGCCCCCCGTAGCAATGCAGGATTCGTAGGGGCTTCCCTGATCGGCAGGCCTCACGTTCTTCCTTGTCTCCCTTAGCAGTATCCAAGGCAGCAAGGCATTACCCCGTTAAAGATCCCACGTGTTCGCTGGCCAGGCCGCATAAGCTGATTGTTCTGTATGTTTGGTTGACGAGTTATATTTCGGGACCCCAGTCACTCTTCTTGACCACCAGCCACATGACTTTCATCTCAGACATTTGGTTTACTGGATCAGTTTTGTTTTTGACACTCACCTCACGTGATCATGACCATGATATTCTTTCAGATGCTCCCATCCTGGTGGTTCTCTAACCTGACTGCATATTGGAATAATCTGAGGAGCTCTTAAAAATCCCTGTGTCTTGTCTCCACCCCAAGTCATGTTCTGTGAGACCCCCATGTGGTTCTCAGGTCCAGCCCTGTTGAGAGAACCTCAGCTGGTTGCAGAGCGCCCCGAAAAACTCAGCAGACCTGGAATCACCTAAATGTATTATTTAGTCAGTTGTACATCAGCATAACGGAGGGCTTTGTGGTGGGAGAACCACAAAGCGTTTAGCCACACGTTGCATACTTTTAAGGCACATGAAATTATAACTCATTCACCACGGGGATTAAAGGTTAGCCAAACTTGCTGTTTTTGTTATATTGATGTAACAATGCTGTATTGTTTCAAAGCAGTTTGCTTGCAAGCAATTTTTATAGGAATCCAAGGCATGTTTAAGAATCTGTCAATAACATTCCACAAGAAAACAATAGACATTTGTTGTAGAAATTCAGGCTTTCTCTTGCAGTGATTCTAATCCGCTGAACCAAGAGCAGAAAGATAGGATATCTAACATCAGATTCCTCTCGTAGATCAAAATAAAGCTATAGACAAAATAAAGCTGTTTTCATCCAGATGTTCAACACCGTACTACTAGAAGATTGAATAATAATTGATTGAACCCAGAGACCATACTTTTCCAGAAACCGCATTCCTGGTACTATAAGGGGACTTTTTACTTGGGTTATGGCAAAATATATTTCAGGAAAAGATTTATACAGAATCCCACTGCAGGATTCTGTAACTTTTCACTTATTCACAATAAAATGGAAACATTTTGTGGAATCTGGGATTATGATGTAATTTAAACCCCGGTTTTATTTTACTTGATGCAATAGTTTATGCTGGATGAATGAATGTAGTTTTATTCTTTACGTTATTCATTTCAGACTGTGGTCCCAAAGTTGACTTTGGCCTAAGTGATAGTGTAGCTTATGTGTAGGTGGATGCCAGGAAGAGAAGCATATTTCCGCTTTGCCACCTTCAGTGTTCACTCAAAATTGGAAAATGGAAAGTGCTGAAACACCCAGCAAGCCAAGAGTATATACAGAATCTGTGAAAGTTTGGCTCAGGGGGTACACATTTTCCAGGGAAGGCATGCAAATGGTAAGATATAGGGGAAAAGTTAACTAACTATAGGGTACCCAGAAACCAAAAAAAATTTTCTTTAATTTTTCAGGGATGAAAGTAAAATTGTATTTCTCAAGAACAAAAAGCACAGTACGTACTTTGTTTTTAAAAAAAAAAAGTCAGCAACTTATGCTGATATTTTATTTTATGGTCAGTTAGGGTCAAAAGAGAGAAAAAGGGGGAGATGAAAAGTGGAGGAGACAGAGGAAAAACGTGGAGGTAGAGGGCAAAAGCAATAGTTAAAGTAAAGTAGAAAGGTTCGGAAAAGGGGAAAGAAAGACCAAAAGGGGTTCCGTGGCGAATGCTGCACGGAGCTGGTCCTTGTCGTATTTAACATTTGATTGAGCAGTGGCTGTCCGAGAAATTCTCATCCATTTTTAAAGCTCTCTGCCATTTAAATTAGCAGTCTTGAAGTAGCCCTGCTTTTATTTTTCAATATTAAAGTTCATTTCTGAAAACTCCTCACTGGCTTTTATTTTCAAATGTCAAAGTTGATTTCTGAATTAAAGATGTGTTTTACTATTAAATTCTGAAGGTTTTATACAAATCGGAAGAAATTACTTGGGCTTTAGAAACTGCCTTTGACAGTTTGAGATACCTACATTACTAGCTGTTTCATGAAATCTCACAGATTCTTTTTCTTATTAAAGTAAGCTTTTTGCCTCAACTAAGTGAGTAGATACACACTTAAGGGTGTCAACAGTTTCAATGATAAAGCCCTCCTGAAATAAATATAATCCACCAATATTCAAACTACTTTTGGGGTTCTTATCCAATATTCTAAATGTAATAGTCATAAGAGGCCCAAGCCTACGTCTTTCATGTTGAGGACAGTTGTGCCACTTAGCTAAGTGTTTATGCAATTTAGAAGCTAAATTTGCGTAGACTTTCTGGTCTCAGTTTCTTCTTTTGGAAGAAACATGGCTAGGTAATCTCTAGGGTCCCTTCCCATCACAAATACTCTGTGTATGTGTGTGCACGCGCACGCATATATGTTTAATTCAGTGACTTCATTGGTTATACGTTTTTATAGAATGACCTTATGATAAAATTAATTTTATTCTCTTAGGTTCTTTAAGACTTTAATTATTTGTTCAGCATCATAAAATATTTTCTAAAATGGTACTTGTCATCTACAAGTACCATTTTAGTCATCAAGTTATCTACAAACTGCACTTGTTTGGGTAAACTTTGGAAGAGTGAATAAGATAATAATTGTGTTAGTTTTTTTTTTACTTTTCAGACCATGCCCTTCACGTTGAAATAAATACAGATTATTAAGTGTTTTAAACCAAATTAGGTCAGAGCCAGTTTTCTGTGATTTAATAGGTGCCATAACTCTGGAGAGTCTGTGAATAAGACAAGGATATGTCTGAGAACGCGTGTAATAGCGTTGTTGGCTGATGGGCAGAGATGTGGCATGTGTCCCTGAAGGGAAGCCCAGGCTCTCTCCTAATGAGTCCCGGGCAGCATAGGTGGTGGGGAGAACCAGGAGAGTGATGGTGAAGAAAATGTTGAACCGTTTTTTGTTTTTTAATTAGGTAATTTGGTTGGGCCCTTGGACCACAAAGATTAGGTTACATGAAATCCTCTGACACAGGGTGACCCTCTGAACTGTAAGGACATTTGGTGAGCAGATCTGCAGGGGCAGTAAATAAGCTCATCGGGGAGCTCTTTATTCAACGTTGGTGGACAAATGAACACATCTGCTGCCCCCTTGTTCCTAGATTTGAACTCACTCAGCAAGGCGAGCAATTTATCTTGACTCATAACTGTCGTAAAAAAAGAATACATTTCGGGGCTTCCCTGGTGGCGCAGTGCTTGAGAGTCCGCCTGCCGATGCAGGAGACGCGGGTTCGTGCCCCGCTTTACTCTGGAAAAAAAGTAAAAACTTCTATCATATGAAGAATACAGTGAAAGAAATAGAGAATAATTTGAATAAAATAAAAACTACTCTTAAGAAAGGATGTGGTTTCAAGTCAGACCACACATCAGAACAATGTTTGGTTGGGAGTCTTTTAAAAAAAAAAAAAAAAAAAGAATACATTTCATATATCTAAAAAGAAATAAGAAACTAACCAAGCAATCCAAATATTACAGGATACTCACTAGTATAAATAAAAATCACTACCCTTTATTTATTAAAGGTCACCAAGCTGTAGGCACTGTGCTAGGTTTTGCACAGGCATCGCAGCATGTAAAATTAGGTGGCAGTGATGAATCCTGAGGTTCCTGTGCTCACCCAGTTTATTGGCATTTCTGTCCTGCTTCCCTGTGCCCTGAACCTTTGTCAGGATCAGCATGAGATGAGGTTTGAGTTCAGCCAGCAGTGGGATCACCCAAACAGACTGAAAGCAAAAAGCCTGAGCCTGAAGGTGATTACAGTGGACTGGGGGATGAAGTGGGGGATGGAAGGGCTCTCAGCTCCAAGTGATCAGAAGAGAAAGGAGAGACCTTCATCAGCTTGAAACTGGTGTGTGTGAGTCAAGTAGTAAAAATCAGCCAACTAAGACAACCCCAAACCCAATTCCTATCTCTTTAACTTGTACATTCGGTCATTCTTTGATTTTTCTTTTTTCCTTTCCTCTTTTAACAGAATTGATAAAAAAATGTCTGGAGGCCAGAGTGGCTATGAACTTAGTGAAGCCAAAGCCATCCTAACTGAACTGAAGTCTATCAGAAAGGCTATTAGCTCAGGAGAAAAAGAAAAACAAGATCTGATGCAGGTATGTGATGGAACATTTTTTCAAGTCACACTGCTACCTTCTTGGGCCTCAGAAGCTTTCCTTGAGGCAGAAGTTCTCCATCGGAGTCTGGAAGGCCCTTTACCACCACACAAACCCCACTTCTGCCCCATCCATATGGAATTTGGTCCCGTAGGAGATTGTTATAGGCACTGAGCCAGCCGCCTGCCTTGGAAGAAAACAGATTGGTTCCAAGGTTCTGATATGCTTGTTTGAAGGCAGACTTTGGATGACCTTTGAGACAGGGGCTGCTGGATCCTGGAGCCCATCTAAGGAGATTAGCATCTTGGTGCACCCTGCAACTCACTGCAAACTTCATGTGGCGCCCTGATAAGCAGGGTTATCTAACTCAGTGATCCTCAGCCCAGGATACAGAAAGGGTATGACACCTGCTGTCAGTAAGTAGATGAGATGCCTTGAGGAGAGGGGGAAGGGGTGTGAGGAACTTAGAAAAGCCATTCCCCACCCCAGGAGATTCCAAGGTGCTAGCTGGGGGTGGCAGGGAGAACGCGGACCCAGCTGGGGGACATCTGTATAGTCACCCTGGGAGAGATGCTAATGGCAGTAGACCCCTTCGTTACACCTGTACACTTCTCACCTTATGGGTCTGAGCTCCAGTGACCCAGCCTTATGTGTAGAGAAAACAACCATTCAGCGATCAATATTCTGCATGTTGAGTATCTATATTTAGCAGATACAGCCAAGTTTTTTGAAGAGATATCTCTTCCTCCTCTTCCCTCCCTTCCATCTCATAATTATCACAAGCACTGAGAAGTCTTTGTAATATTTCAGATATTTGGAGTTCTTTACCTAGCTGGGTGAGGATTTAGTCTGTGTCTTTCAAAAACTGTTAGAGCCCGTGGTAAACAGAACCTCTGCATTTAAGTACCAAATTCAGCTACGTCATGTCAGTTTCCAAAATGCTGGTTGAATGTGGGTGAATATTCTTGAACCCATATAATTTTGCATTTGGGGAATTCTGAAATAACTTGCAAGAAGCGATCAAATAGAAAAGACTGACTTAAAATACTGACTTTGTGCCCGGCAGTCTTCTGCCTGCCTTGCATAGAAATACTTCATTTAATTCTCACAACAGCCTAAAGATAGGTTCTGTTATTATCCTCAACCTGTAGACAAGAAAACGGCAGTGCAGAGAAGTTGTTACTTGGTTAAAGTCACACAGCAGGTAAGTGGCAGGACTGAGGTTCAAACCCAGGCAGTCTTGCTCTAGAATATGTGGTTCTAACGTATGTGTAACACATACAGAACTTCCTTGGATGTACTTTTTGTTGTTGTTCTGCAATGATCCTGCCAATTAAATCAGTCATTCCTGAAAAGCACAAAATAAGTCCTTTGAAAAAAGTTAACAGAGTTAAATTGAACAGAGTTAAATTGGAACCTCATAATTTAGCAATTTCAGGTCCTCTTTGATTCTTTCTGTAAACTTTGGATTTATACATAGGCCAGATTAAATTTAAAAACTAGATTCCTTTTTAATTGCTAAAATATAAAAAATAATTAATAAATACAGGAATCAACAGTAGAGCAGAAAGGGACATTAGTTATCTTCTATGACTTTTAAACCTCTTTGGCTGTGACCCGGAGTAAGAAATACGTATATTTTACATCAAAACCCAGTAATACAAATGTCTTTAACGATAGATACACACACCAAATTTCACAGAAATATGCCTGCTTTTAATACTAGTAATATACTTTGATTTTACTCTCTAGTCTCTTCTATTTCATTTAAAAACATACTAGTCATGACCTACTAAATTGATTGAGTGCATGGTCATAGGTTTGAAAAATATACGTCTTTTCACCGTTCGCATGAAAAAAATAGAAAAGACTTGTCCAAAGTCCCTAAGAGGTTTCTTCGTTCTTTTCTGTAATGTATTTATTTGATGTGACCATTTAAGTTTTATCCCTCATGCATATACATTTTGTATAAATATGCCTTTGATAGAAAATAGAGAAAGTTAGGTAAAAAACAAATATCAGATCTCTGGTATTTCTAATTTCTTATCATGAGAATTTTGAATATCAGGATTAAATCCTGGCTCTTCTTAAAGTTGATAATAATGAGCTTCTTACATTTTTATTAGTGTTTTGTACGGGGGTTCTTTGGTAGCGATTTAAATTTTTTCCTTTTTAATACTCTCACTGACTCACATCCTCCCTCTAAAGTAAACTCATTCTATTAAAACCCGGGTGCCGACACCAGTCACGTTCACTTGTAATTAGGCACTTTCCCAAACCAAACATCACCGCAGGTACTGATTGACTGTGGCTTCTGGGCCTCCATTTCCTAATCTCTCACATCTATGTGAGCTAAATAATCTCTTAGATCCTGTCCAGATATCAAATGGCATAACTGTAGAAGTCTTCTAAGTAGGAAGTTTGCCTGCTTTATCTAAATGAGATTGCATTATAGGTATCCTATGCTTCCATAATTCCTACTGCATAAAGTGGGTAGTTCTTATTAAAATAGACTTCTTTTTAACAGAATTTTAAAAATAAGAAATGCATGTATTAAATATAAAGATACCATTAGTCACAGGGTGAATAATTCCCAGGCTGTCTTGGGAAAGATAAGATAACCTGTTTAATATGATCTTACATATTTTCAAAGTCCTGTGTGTATGTGCAAAAATTATATTCTACTCTTATTTTTTTCAAGAATTTAAAGTGATAAGTACCTACTAAGATAAAGTAGTTGTTTTTTCCATTGAGATTAGCTCTTTTGACTTAATTTTACCTGGTGGGGAAGTTTCGTGCTCTTAAATGTTCGGCTTTATGGAGTACTTTGTATTTCCTGAACAGAGTCTTGCTAAGCTGCAGGAGCGGTTTCACTTGGACCAGAGCATTGGCAGATCTGAGCCAGACTTGAGATCCAGTCCTGTGAACTCTCACTTATCTCTCTCCAGACAGACCCTGGATGCCGGGTCACAAACAAGCATTTCCGGGGATGTAAGTTATCCACGTGGAAGGGTTGGCCCCGGCACTGTCCTGACGGGCCCTGATTACAATACCGATGGCAAATGGAACAGGGGCCAGGAAGGTGGTGCGAATTCCAGCTGTGTGCATTCAGCATTTCATACTCATAAGATTGGATTTAAAAATCTTAGCCTTATCTTTTCTGCCTAGGTGCCAAAGTATATCAGAATTTGTCCATATGAATAGCTTTGTTCAAACTTTCTCATACTGTATTTATTCAGAGACTCTATTGAAAGGTGAGAGACAAATGAAAATTTGAGTTTTTCCTATTAAGTTTAGAGTCTTAGACATTAAGGTCCTTCCAAATAAACATGAAGGCTAATGAGAAACAAATATATGCCTTTAAAAACTAACCAAAAAATTTGTTTTTATAAATCTGAACTTGATTATATTAAAACATTTGATTGGTGGTTTATACCTGGCATTTGAAAATATTTATTGTGGCTTGAATATTATTACCAGTTTGTATTCTACCTTTGGGGACACCATTAGTAGATATTTACTTTTCAGTAAGTTCCAGTTATTTTTGTATTCTCTATGCTTCTTTGAATTCCGTGCTATGAAAGTAAAACAGGTAGAGATCAACAGTAGGGCTTACCTGTTTGAAAAATTAATTTTCGAAGTAATTTATTTTATGTTTATGCATTTGAAAGTTAGATGATGGAAATTTTGGCTCATAGAGACAAGGAAATTAGTTCCAGTTCATAAATTTTATTGACCTGTACACCCTTCATAAACTCTTAGCTACCAGAAACATTTACCTAATATTTTTTATCTTGAATTTAATGTGTGGAGAAAAGGACGTTAAAGTCTTTGAAAAACAGACAAGCTTGAATTAAAAAGAAATGTTTTGTCCCTACTGAGACTATAAAGTAAGTGCCTTTGCAAACTGGTGTTCCCATCTTCTGTAGCTTTGCAATTACTTGCACTTCCTAGAAACAAAAGCAGTTTTACTTCATTCATTAGCAGAGTTAATTGACTTTTTCCCTTTTGTTTTTTACTAGATTGGAGTGAGAAGTAGATCAAATTTGGCTGAAAAGGTCAGGCTGAGCCTCCAGTATGAAGAAGCCAAAAGAAGGTAAACAGCAGGGGAGCTGGGTAGCGGTCAGTGGGTAGTCAGCTGGCTCACCCGGGTTTCCTTTTCCAGAATTCATCTTTACTCACGTAGGGACGTCTGCTGGGCGCTCGCCACCGTTCTTACCAAGGTTACCCTTCATATCTTAGAATATAAGGGTTACGGGGTCCCCTCCCCCGAAAGCTGAAGAACAAGGAGAATTAATGAGAAGGGCGGGAATGAAACTTTCCCCTTCCTTCTGGAAGGAGGAAGCTTGAGCTTGTACGGTACTTTCTTACTCACAATTCAAAGTGAGGAGGTCGGCTTCTCAGATAGAAATGTGATACCATGGCTCAGGTGCAGGGCTTGGTAGCAGCTGCGGAGTCTGAAGGTAAATAGCTTCAAGCACCTTCCTTGGCTTGAAGGGAAGACCCCCTGCTGATGTCCGGGGGGATGCTGAGGTGTCTGCTGTGTCACTCACTTCAGGGAGCGTTTCCTTCCTTGACCCTCTCAATTCTTCAGCCCTGCCTCGATACCTTTTTCTTATCTCGTGACTCTGCTGGGGAAGGCCTGGGAGACTCCTCTGTCCTCGCCTCGGTGACAGACTCAGCTGGTTTTCATAATGTAGGAACTGAACTTGTTCTGAGAGAGAGGGTCATACTGATACATTTCATTATTTTCCTTTTAAGAGTGTAAAAATGCTGCTGTTTTATTATTTAGGAAGGCATTGGGTGACAAACCTGCATTATCATGAACATGAACAGTTCGGCTGAGAACATACTGGAGCATCGTGGCTTCCCACCACAAGGAAGCCCGTAAGATGGATACTGGAATATATCCATTATTATTGGTGATGATGAGAATTTAAAAGTCACTGGCCAAAGTTCTTAGAGGTTGTCTGGCTTTAACAGAGTCGCTATTTGATCTGCCTAAATATAATATTTGCCTCTGGGTAGCCTCTGTTACTAATACTAATATTACTTCGTTCTTTGATTTACTGAAAGAACCCGAAGGTTTGTTCCATAAGTCATTAACCACGTGAGCTTGAGCAGGTCACTTAGTCTCTCTGAGCAACATTGCACTCGGCTAATTTTAATGCCTATAAAATTTCCCAGGTAGATTATAAATGGCTTGAGGGTAGGAAACATTTTGTTTACTGTATTGTCTGCTTCTCACATGCCAGGCTGTTGCTTTGCCCTCAGTAAGGACTGAGAATTGCTTTGTGCTTTTGTGGCCCAGTGATGTGGAAGCCTGTTTGGGGCCCTCTGGCTATAAGCACGCCAGTTCCTGAGCTGCCAGAACTCGTAGGTTCTGACGTAAACAAAGCCAGGATCTGGTTTTCTGGTGTCTGGTTTTCTGAAGGAGAATGGCCATAACTCAGAATTAATCTTGGGGAGCCAGGCCTCATGCCCCGGGGTCCTTGGGGTTTGACGCGACTTCCTTGGGCCAGCTTGAGCTTCTGCTTTACTTTGGCTCCATGTGGAGCTTACACAGCACTTCTCTTCCTAGGTGGCCCCGGAAACCTTCGTGTTTTCTTGCCCAGAAAACTATTTCCAAATAAAATTTAAGACCTACCTAATGCCTGATTCCCACAAGTAATAGATGCTGTTCTTTCCTTCACTACATCGTTGCTGTCAGTTCAATCGGTTAATTCAGTCACATCAAAACTTAAGACATTAGTTCTTTCCCATTTGGTTGCATTGCTGTTCTATTACCATTTGGGGCTTTATTTTAAAGTTACTAGCAATTCTGACGAGAAGGTAAGTCTCAAGGGTTTATGCATAAGTTGAAAATGCTTTTTCTTCCTCAATTCTGAATAAGGGGCGGGTTGTGTTCTTCTGAAACCTGTTTTCTCCTCCAGTCTTTGTTTTTTGTGCTTAGTGAAGCTAATAATATCATGCTTAATTTTACAGTACATTGAGACAGTTGTTTATGGTTTTGTGGTTAAAGCTGACGAGTAGCTGATGTTACATCTATCGATGTAACGAGTAGCTGATGTTACATCTATAGTACAGACGATGGGTGAAAGTCAGAAGTACATTATATATGCAGCACAGTTTAAGATGGCAATTTTATTCTTAACTCAAACAAGAAACTTCAGGCAGAAGAATGTGGAACTGCTTCCCTCTTTGTCCTGGCAACATTTTTTTGTTTCGTTTTGGTTTTTTAAATTTATTTATTTATTTATTTTTGGCTGTGTTGGGTCTTCGTTGCTGCGCGTGGGCTTTCTCTAGTTGCAGCGAGCGGGGGCTACTCTTTGTTGCGGTGCGCGGGCTTCTCATTGCAGTGGCTTCTCTTGTTGCGGAGCACGGCCTCTAGGCGTGCGGGCTTCAGTAGTTGTGGCACGTGGGCTCAGTAGTTGTGGCACGTGGGCTCAGTTGTTGTGGCGCGCGGGCTCTAGAGCGCAGGCTCAGTAGTTGTGGCGCACGGGCTTAGCTGCTCCGCGGCATGTGGGATCTTCCTGGACCAGGGCTCGAACCCGTGTCCCCTGCATTGGCAGGTGGATTCTTAACCACTGCGCCACCAGGGAAGTCCCCAGACAACGTTTCTTGTTCACCTTTTTCTTCTCTTCTACAGCTTTTTTCCATCAAAAAGGGGAGGAAAAAGTCCCCCCTTTCCTATCTGTTTTTCCTTTTTCTAGCGTGCACTGTAACAATACCCAGAGTAATCATCCAACATTTCTTAATAGGAATATGGATTCTTCGTGCCAACATCAGTTGTGTTCATAGTTTACCTTGATCTTGTGCTTATGGTCAAAACAGCCAAGTGCCATTTCCCTTGTGAACAATCCCGATCGTCCTCACAGCGCCACAGAGCAAGTTATTTGATTCGGGTGGTCATTCTTATTGAATCAGGAGGTAACTTGACCATTGAGTACGAAGCTCTAGAAGCAGTGGAATCTGGGGTCAGCAAAATTATGAAACCGGTGAAGGTTCCCTTTGCTGCGTTTTCCTCCTCGCACCCCTCCCGACCCCGTCGTTTCAGCACCTGTTGTCACTCCAGTGGGCCCTGGGTGCTGCTGATAGAGGAGAGCCAGGTCAATGCCGTGTGTACAGGGCCGGCCCAGTGAGCGCCCCGTGTGTGCTGTAGACTCCATGCAGGCCCTGAGCGGGAAGCGAGTTCACGGTGCACAGCTGAAGAATGTGGGTGGGGGAAGCCGAGCCCTGCCCCCTTTTCCTTGGCCATGCTGCAGCCTTGAGGGATGGACTTGGCTGTGGTACCGCGTGGCCTAGCCCCTGCCCTCTTTTCTCCCCTCTTCCTTCCCTGATTGGCTGATCCCCAGTTGCTGCCAGCCTAGCCTGGGGACAGCATCTTTACCCAGAGGAACGAGATCTAGAATAATGCATTTCTGGCATCATTTACCAGAGATTCTTTTTTTTTTTGTGGTTCACGGGCTTCTCACTGTCGTGGCCCCTCCCATTGCGGAGCACAGGCTCCAGACGCGCAGGCTCAGCGGCCATGGCTCACTGGCCCAGCCGCTCCGCAGCATGTGGGATCCTCCCGGACCGGGGCACGAACCCGCGTCCCCTGCATCAGCAGGCGGACTCTCAACCACTGCGCCACCAGGGAAGCCCTACCAGAGATTCTTTAAAGGAAGCTCTCAGGTGTTCCTCCTGCCACCTCACACAGGCAGGCACACGTCAGGGCTGACCACCCACAGCCCTCTGCTTTTTAAGCTTCTGTGTACTTTGACCTTCATCCTTTTTCCGGTAGGTAGGTGTGCTTACTCAGATGTTAAAGGTGGGGAGGATGGATGAGGCAGATAAGAAGTAAGTGTAGCATCCGCCACCGCTGCCCCGGGACGGGACCAGACCAGAGCCTCACACCAGCCATCACGCCCGTCCCTGGGGGGTTAGTCCCGACCGACCTGTAGCCCGCCTCGTGTTTTCCCTTCTTTGGGACTTCTGACTACGTGCACAGCTGTTATTTCATTCTGTCTTATTTTATTTTAGTATGGCCAACTTGAAAATCGAACTGTCGAAACTGGACAGTGAGGCCTGGCCTGGGGCGCTGGACATTGAGAAGGAGAAGCTGATGCTGATTAACGAGAAAGAAGAACTTCTGAAAGAGCTTCAGTTCGTCACCCCAGAGAAGCGCACCCCGGACGAGCTAGAGAGCCTGGGCGCCGAGAGGCAGCGGCTGGAGAAGGAGCTGCTGTCGGTCCGGGGGGCGCCTAGCCGAGCTCTGGCCGAGAGGTGCGTTCCCCTCCCCAGGCCCCGGGTGGCTAACCCGTGGGGGGCTCAGCTGGGCCTCCAGGCCGTTCTCCCTGGCCTGCGGAAATCTCAGAGGCCTCAGCCCTTAGTGGACTGAGGACTTCTTCCTGTAGAGCAGTAAAGCACACCCTGCTTAGTCCCCGTGGTTCCTCTACGCTTTTGGGGAACGTGAAAATGCCTGAGACAGATGTTGAATAACTAAGGAATGTTGACAGAAAACCAGGAATGCAGTCCATCGCTGACCGAGGCTGATAACAGTGGCTGTAAACTATTGCACTCTGATAAGAGAGATTATCTGGACTATTAGGGCGGCTGAAGCTTCCTATTCTGGGTTTATTACTCACAAGAATGCAAAAGTTTATTGCTTTTCATTTCACAACGAAAAGACAACTTGCTCCCTTTGATATCTCAACAGGTCACAAAATGTTCACTTGGATTTCGTTTGTCAGTTGAAACCCTCCCCTGAAGCAGGAGAAAATATAAAGGAAAATGCTTTAAGCAATTTCCTCATCCTTCTGTGGGAAGGTGTAAACTGGTCACTTAATCTAAAAACTCCAGTTCTGTAGGCAGGTCAGCTGGACTCTTAAGCAGGGAACCCCTGTGTGTGTTTGCCGTGAGGACATCTGCACAGCAGCCCTGTGTCCAGGCCTTGCTGACTAATGGTCAGACACCTCTTTACCTGTTTCAGCCATAGACCATGTGGCCCTTTAGAACCACCGCACATCCATCTTTTAGGCCAACAAGTAAGGAGCAGAATGAAGGGAAAGAGATTCACATTTGCGTAACTTCAAGTGACCTGGGAATAAGTTTAAAATACCCACCCATAATCCAGTCACTTTTTTTTTTTTTAACTTCTTGGCTTCTTGCCTTCTAATTCCTTGTCCTCTATAAATGTTTGAGGTTGTATGTCAACATAATACCAAAACATTTGAAAAGTGTGGTGGTGGAGGAGACGGGGGGGAGGGAAGAACCTCTGACATTCCTGATGAGGCATTAGCGTGAGCACTTGTTTAACCGTGTGAGTGAGAATGCTGCTGGAGATAACGCATAGCTGCAGCATCACGGCTTCATTGAGCGTGCGAAAGCATCAAAGGGGGAGCCCCCTACAGATGCCACCCTTTCACCATCTTAAATAATTCTCATCACCCACCTGCCCCTGTTTCTCCTCCCGTCCCGCTCTGACATCCCTAGAAGGTGTCAGAAAGGCTGGCCAAGTAGGGAGCCATCCGACCAAGACTACAAGGAACAAAAAGAAAGGGCGAGAAGGCAGAATTCAGTTGTTTTCCTGAATTACCTTGATGTTGTATGTGAGTGCCTGTGTTTGTGTTTCTTAAATTCCGAGGATAAAAGTTTGATAATCATCAGCAAATATGATGAAATGGTTAGCTTTGTGTGGCTCGTAGATAAAACACCAGTGATCTTTTGTGTTATGTCGCCCTTAATAAATGTCATATAATTATACCTGTGTAACGTACGGACATCTGACATCTCAGCTGTCCTACTCTGCAGTATCTGAATCCGGGAAGGGCCCTACCAATGGACTTTAAATTTTTTCTGGGAGAGGAAGAAAACAGGCGTTTGTTTCTTTGTTTGAATCAGCTTTTACAGGCATGATGTCTTGTCTTTTTCTTCTTTTTTTTCTTTTTTTGGCCGGGCCATGTGGCATGCGGGATCTTAGCTCCCCAACCAGGGATCGAACCCGTGCCCCCTGCACTGGGAGTGCGGAGTCCTAACCACCGGACTGCCAGGGAAGTCCCTTGTTTGTCTTTTTCATTAGGGCTGGAGCTTCAAAAATGACTAATGAAGTAACGTTAAAAATATAGCTTAAGTGCCTAGACTTTGGCTTTTATACTTTTGTTTGCACACACATAATACCTGTCAAAATTCCAGCAGAAACAGTAGGCTTGATCTCATCCGGAAGAGGAGCTATAAAATATTTATACAAAATAATTCTCTATCTAGTGAGATCCAGCCGTGGGGTTTGAGTCGCACAGGGAGTAATGGGGGCCATCCACAGGTTTGGATGGCCCTCTGACTTACGACCGCGCATAGGTCCACGTCCCACAATTGAGATCTTAGCAGGAAGGGAAATGTGTATGTTTCATATGTTGGCTGTCTGAGTCATTTGGAAGGCTCAAGTCATTTAGCATTACAGAAAATGGACACCAGCTTCCTCTCTGCTGTCCACGGCCAAAAGCAGAACCCCATGATAAAGCAGGGTAAGGCTGAGGGACTCACACTTTCTTGCTGGAGCAGCTTGCAGTTTTCTCACTGCTATCCTTGGCTGCAAGACGGCCCAGCATTCCCTGTGCAAGACAGCAGAAGCCCTGCGAAGTGCACCCGGAGTCCTTTGTTTCCCAGTGGGCACAGCACAGTGTGGCTTCGGGCTTTGTTGGTGGTGGTGGTTTTACTTTACTCCCCATTTGCTCTCCCCCTTTCCTACCCTTCACCAACCTCATCGTTTCTTCCCACTGCCTGTGTATATTCCTG